CCCCAAAACCCCAAAACCCCAAAACCCCAAAACCCCAGCTTCGGACTTGTATATTTATAATTTATAATTTTTATAAAATGATAGACAACGAATTCGAAATTGCTAAAGTTATTGGGATGGGAGGAAGCTCCAAAGTCTTCCTAGCTCATGCCTCTGATGGCAGCAAGGTAGCAATTAAAGCTATCAGGAAGGACAAAAAATATACAAAAGCAGCTGCATCCTCAATGCTGAACAGAGAGTATAGCATGCTTCAAAAGCTAGAAGCCCATCCCAACATTATTAAATCTCTTGGTGGTAATTTTGATGGGCAAGTGGTTTTAAAATAATGAATCTGAGGATATAATGTACAATGTCTTGGAATACGCCCACCATGGTCCTCTTTCCAAATTTGTCAGATACACTGGTGGACTAGAGGAGGAAATAGCTAGGTTGTATATATATCAAATCGCTGATGCAATCCATTTTATCCACAACCTAGGATACGCTCATCTAGACATTAAGCTAGAGAATATTCTTTTAGACAAATTTTTTAATATTAAAGTTGCTGATCTTGGTTCCTGTACTAATATCAAGGATAAGAAAGGGTTCACAAAAGTTAGGAGAGGGACACTATTATACATGGCGCCAGAAGTCGCTGCCTTAAAAGCGAAACAGGAATTTGACGCGAGATCTGCTGATATTTATTCACTTGGAGTAACCATTTACCTATTATTAACCGGTGAATTCCCAGATGCTCAAGAGGTGCAAAACAGTTTTATTACCTGTGCATCCGAAAGAAGGGAGACCTTAGATACAGAAATGGAGGAGGATTATAAAACTAAAGATGCTTTTTCAACTTTGTCTGAAGAGGTGAAACTATTGATCCAAAGTATGCTTCACCCAGATTCATGTAAAAGACCTACCATCTTCCAAGTTTTGGAATATTCATGGATGGCAAAACCTTTCTCATCCGATATTTTAGAAGAAGTTTTTAATGAGATGAATTATCGAAAGAAATACATTGTGGAGTACTGAAAGAACCAAAAGGCTCCTCTTGGGCAATTAGCTCCAGGAAGTTAAATATATCTTTACTAGTTGCACTTATCAACCAAGATTATATTTTTCATCAATAATCTGAGGATATAAGTAACTTTGTTTCTAATTATGAATGTCTAGAAAGGAATTACTAGTATCACTAAATGGTTGGAAAGCTCAACTTATGCCTATTTCCCAGGGGTTTTGGGGTTTTGGGGTTTTGGGGTTTTGGGGTTTTGGGG